TCCACTAAGGTCTGCACCTCACTTTCCTTCCTCTACCTTAGGCATCGTTGACAAAAGGCTCTGTTACACCATCTTCTGGAAGGATGGCACATCTCTGGGCTGGGCAAGAGGTCTACGAGGAGGTCTGCTTTGGGAAGTGACTGCCCCACATCCTGGCGGCTGTTCCCAACCACCCATGGGCCCTCAAGGCCTTGGGAGCCTGAAGACCACTAGATGATAAAGAGTCCCCCAAATCCCAAGCTTCAAGACTGTTGCCTTGTGCTACTGTTGCATGGTGACGCCATCTTTCCCACTCGAATGAAAGTACCTCAAGGGCAGGGTATGTTTCTTTCCTCCATCGGAATCTCCTTCTGGGTCTAGCACTCGATAGGGCCCAGAGAAGAACCTCAATCTACGCTGGTAATGCCATTGGAATTCCAGGACTGAGAAAGGCAGGCACTGGATCTGTCCTGGCACACTGCCGTCCACCCACCTCCTTCAGTTTCTGACTGGAGTTTCACAAGTAGCTGCTCTGGGCCTGGCATCACGCTAGACCCTGGGAATCTAAAATAAGTTAGACAATGTGGTCTCTGCTTTCCAAGAATGTCTCAATCTAATCGCAGGTGTAGAAGGCAGTGTGTGGTATTTCAGAGTACAGGCTTTTCCCCATGGTGCGAGAGTCCATTATCAAATGGCAGCTTGGGCCTAGTTTGCACTCATCTTTCCTCCAGACAGGCTCCAGCAGGGGAAGCCACAGATTAAGGAGGCTTCTGCAAGGTGCTCTCATGTTTCTAAATCTCTTGTTGGGAATTGGGGTGGCACAGGATTCTGGCACCAGGCCCCTGATCTACTGGTTGGTTCACTCCTGGGATTTGCACTTCTTTTTACCCTCTTGCAGGGAAATCTACAGTCTGTCTGGAGCGCAAGGAAGTTTCTTCAGCTTGCCTTTATCCACGCCTACTGAGAAATTTCCTCTGTTAACTTGTCAGTAGCAGCTGTTGAAATTCCAGTGGGGTCTATGTATGCACATGCACACTCACGACAGAAACTTGAATACCACGTTCCAGGGCTAACAGGGTAGAGGTGCCTACCAGAAACAGCAGGGAATTCCAGATCAGAAACATAAAATCAGAGACCCACACTTTTGCCTAGGGAACCACTGCGAGTGCATAAAGAAATATATGCTTTAGCCTGCCCTCCCCTCGGGAGAGAAAGGAGGTGGCAAGTTAAGCCGTAAACTTCCAGAAAACAAACCATCTAAACCCCAACCCCTTTTGGATAGACCGGCCAAGGTTCTATTAGAGATGACTTCCATAAAAGAAAATTATGGCGAAAGGACATAAGATTTGATCTGTGGGTTTGAGCTTTCTCTTTTTAATGCTAGACATAAATTCCACTCTTTTTGGCTCTGGAAAGATCTAGTCCCACTGGTGCCTCAGCTGAGACCAACACTCTTCCTTTGGCCACAGGTTGCTGAAAAACCTTCCAGCAGGGGTGAGGAGAGCACTAGTGGCAAGTAGGGGCAAGACAAGTGACAACTGTACTCCCCGCAGTGGGGTGTGTGATGGCGTGCGTGTCAGTGAAAAAGTGTGTGTATGTGGCAATATCCGCGGGGGGGGGGGGCATGGGTAAGCTTGGGGATGTGGGGTGTGTGCCTGAGTGTGGGGTCACTATAAACCGTGTGTGAGTCACAGATGTGGGGGAGGGAGTGGGATCACCTCAGTGAGGAGGTGTAGGTCCGTGTCCATGTGAGGATGTGTCAGCGTCAACGCACCCGTGTGGGAGTCTAGGGGAGAGTCCACGGCCGTTCAGGCGAGCAGGTCAAGCTAGAGGCGATGTATCTTATGCTTCAGTGACTGTGTGGGCATGTGGGCCAGTGTGAGCAAGTGTCTCCCCCTCAGGGGGGACGTTGCAGGGGGAATGAGAGTGTGAGTGAGTGTGAGTCTACGTGGCCGTCTGTGGCATCACCAGCGGCCTGTGAGTGCATGGACTCATTTATGGGAATCGAGGGCGACAGTGTGGACTGTGTGGCGTGGCGTGGCGTGTGCTGGCATAAATGCAGGTCGGTGACTGTGCAGGTCACGACGTGTGTACTGGTGGGCATGTGTGTGGCAATGTAAGGGTATGCCAGTATGAGAACACAAGAGTGAGAATGGGCAAGAATGTGAGCGTGTGGGGTGTGTGCCAGTGTGAACGTGTGTGATGCAGAAACGGTAGTGGGAGAGGGAGAGGGTGTACATGTGAGTGTACATGAGTATGAGACAGTGTGACTGTGTGCCCCTGGGGATATGTGGGAGCGCAGGGTTCGGAGTGCGTGGCTGGGAGCGTGAGAGTATGGAAACCCATAAAAATGTGCAAACGTCAGTATGTAGGCACGGGTGTGCCCTAAGTGTGACTGCATGTTGATGTGAATTAGCGTGAGTACTGAATGCGAGCGAGCAGATGGGTGTGTCGGTGTGTGTCAGTGTGAGTGCATCATCTGTGTGACTCTGAGTGTGAGGGCAGGGCAATGTGTGTCAGCAAAAGTGGCTGAGGTTATGAAAAGGCGTGTGTGTGACTACCTCTGAGGGCACATGCTCGTGAGTTTGGTGAATATTGCGATCAGGTCTCAGCATGAAGGCGAGCGAATGAGCGTGAATGGGTGTCAAAGTGAGCGTGTCTCCATGTGTGTGATTTCGTGTGAACGCGATAGAGGTGGGGAGGTTGTGTCCGTGCTGAGCAGGAGTCCCAGAGCACGCAATACTGAGGGTAAGACTATAAGGTGGTATAACAGCGGAAACCGTGAGACTGCGCTTACGGTGGGAACGTGTGCGCATGTGTGTGTGTCCCTGTGAGGAGTCATGAGCTGTGTCAGGGTCTTACTGTGAGGAGGAGACCATGACAGTGCGAATGTGTTAGAGCGTATAAAGCTGAGCTATGTATGGCCGTATGAGAAGTGGACGAGGGAAAGTCGGTGTGGGGTCTGCGTGTAGACTGCGTGAGCGTGGAGGAGTTTGTGGGTTAAATGTGATTCTATCACCGGTGTGGATATGGATGAGAAGGTGTGACCGTTGAGTGTGTGAGAACGTGAGAAAACGTGAAGGTGTGAGTGAGTGAGAACACGAGGCTGGGGTGTATGGCAAGTGTGGAGTGTGTGTCACTACAAAAACGTGAAACATCAAAATATACGTGGCAGCGTGTGGCCGTATGAGCGTGGGCCTGCGTGCAGCATGTTTGTAAATATGCGGGTGAGGGGGTGGGAGTGACCGTCACCACGAATGTGTCCGGTGGGAAAAGTGTGAGCCAAGGAGGCAGAAGGATTGTGTGAAGGTCCAAGAGTACACGAGTGCGCTCATGAGTGTGTGTACGTATGTGTGAGCACTGAAGCATTTGGGATGCTGAGAAACTCTCGAGGAAGTGTCTTTCCTCCCAAAGCCATTGCATGTGTCCAGTTACAGCACGTTACTTAGCCCCTCTCAACCCCGGTCTCCTCGTGGGCAAAACCATGATTCTAGAACCTACCTTGAGCTAGTCTCACTTTTATAATCAGAAACAAAAACAGTAACTACTAGGAAAAAAAAAACAACAACAACAACAACCTACCTTGCAGAGTTACTGTGGGATCAAACAGTCCCCTGCACGTAAAATGCCCAGCCCAGTGCTGGCAACAGCAGACAATAAATACACGTTATTATTGGAGCTGCCACAGAACACCCAGGAGAGACCCCGGGGCTCGCTTCTGACTTGAGCAAGTTCTAGTTACCTTCTGTCGCTCGAGGTCTATGGAGGATCCCCTACCGCAGCATCTCTAGGAAGCTGAATACATCAGTATCAGCAGGGCTGTAATTTCATACCCTCAATATCCCAGCCGAAACTCTGGAGCTTCCCCTTCATGAGGAGGCACCCCAGAAACACCTGCTGCTGAGGTGTGCTTTTCCTTTGTCCCATCGGGCCGGGAACTGCACTGCGTATGCCTTGTTTGTTCTCTCTTTGTTTTTCTTGTTGGGGTTTTTTGGGGGGTTTTTTGCTTTTTTTTTTTAAGTTTGGTTGGTCACTCGCTTTTGACTTGGGTGCTATGAGAGATGCCCGGGTAACCGACATATAGAAGTGCAGACAAAGAGAAGGAGGCACGTAAGACACAAACAGGTAGCTGGATGGCGGCCTATGGCAATAGAAGGCCAGAGGGGGCAGCTGACAGCAGAAGCCCTATCAGCTGCCCGAGGGGGGAAAGAGGTCGATGATCAGAGGCAGGCCAGGGAACCTGAAAGAAATGGAGAGGAAGAGAGGGGCCCAAATCGAAACGCTGCCGGGGAACTGTCAGGCACTTGGGAGAGAGACGAGAGACCTGTGAAAGCGAGTCCTTACCCCTAGTTTATGGTCTACTTTCCCTGCCAAGATGAATACTCCAGAAACCGTGCAAGAACGATCGACGGCAGTTGAGAAATAAGGGCTATGCGATACTCTACGGGCTCAAGTGTTGTTGGGGAGCTGGGGGGAGAAGTGCTCCCTGCTTGGTTGGGAAGGCAGAGAGAAGGTTTTGGAAGCAGCCCATCAGGCCCGGAAGCTGGGATAGATGGGGTGGGGGTATGCCTTGAATAGGAAGGTCAAATGAAAGTTGTGGAGCAGGAGAAATTTCGGGAACTGACTGGTCAGTCAGTGGCATGTGGCTGAAATGCCACGTTGACATCCGGAAAACAGGAGGAGAGGAAATGCCAGCTTGAAGGGAAACGTGTTGGTGGTTACACGGAAGCTCTTAGACGGAGCCTGACAACTGCAAAGGACTTGGCCATGACCATTCAGTTATTTCTCCTACTCACCCCACGATGTAGGTCACGGCTATCATTCCCATATTAGAAACGGGGAGAACTGAGAAACCAAGGGCAGCTATACGGGCCACAGTGCCCCAGAAAGGAGGGGCTGTGCACCCAGTCCCGGCTCATGAGGCCCAGGCAAGGTCTTTAATACTGGCAGCTCTGGTGGAAAGGTGGCCTTTACCTGGATTTGGAGATCCCTGACTCCCTGCCCTGGAGTCCATTACTCACCTCTTATTGCCACGACCGCAGGACCTCAGCACAGGTGGGCGCTGCCCATGAGAAGGGGCCGGGCTGCCTTCAGCTCCCACGGACTCAGGGCTGGGCACGTCAGCTGCCACAAGACGCAAGGACTCCGCTGCACTTTCTTGGGGGCAACCTGCCAAGAGAAGCATCGTGGGGGTGCAGGAACCTCTTGCCCCACCTGCTACTATTCCCTCAGCCACCCCGCCCAAACCTCACACACACGCTACAGTGGATTTCAGAAAACCCCTGGAGAAGGCAGAGAATCAGAGAGGGGAGAAGCATAAAAAGGGCTTTGAGAGGTCAGAGGCCAGCAAGGGCGCCGAACCGGGGGTTTCAGGTTGAGAACTATCACCTCGCCACTCACTCTGGCCCTGCCTGCTAGCTCGCAGAGAAGACCTGCCCTAGCCGCCCTGGACAAGTGTCAGGAGGACTAGATCAAACAGGACAGACGGGAAATAGCCGCATATTCGCAGGAGGTGGTCCAGCCCAGCGTCCGACGGAAAACCGAGAGATCGTGGCAAATGCACGTTGGCTCTGGGGACACCTGAGCTTCCCTAAGATCTAGCAATGCTGTTTCACTTCCAGGCCCCCACCTCCACCTCCTTCCCTTTGCAGCAACCTCCTTCACTGGGTGGCGGTGGGAGGCGCTCGGGGGGGGGGGGGCGCGGTCCCTAATTTGCTATCAATACACAGCTGCTGAGACCCTCAGCCTCTGATCCTAACTGGAACCTCCTTGTGCCTCCCCTCCCCCTCAACCCAATCTCCACTACGGGGAGGTCTTCCACAGTCTTTCTCAGACTTCTTAGGGTGAGTATATCCTGGGGTTTTTCAGGGTGACGGTTTACCCTATCTTCCCCACAGAGGTTTCCATGTCCAACTGTGGAGGCAAGGTCTTTAACCCCTCTCTTTTCCTGCCTTCCCCCACAATCGCTCGAGCCTCTCAAGGAGGAGACCGCTCTTCCCTCTGCAATCCTTCCTACCCTGCCCCCGCCTTCCCTCCACGTGTCTGTCCTCCAAGAAAAGCAGCACCTCTATGTGAAATCCCAGCAAAGCCGGACCCGGGCTAGCCCACGTTCTATCAGCGGGTATGGGAATGTGCCAGGTCCTAATCCAAAGACACAGAGGGAGGGACAGCTAAAGGTGAAGAGAGAAAAAGTGAAGCCTCGGGGAGCCACGAAAAGCCCCAGGATTCCCCACTTCCCCTTGGTGAACGAGAAGACCAAGCCATACCCCAGATCCACCACTTGCTCCTGGCGAGACTCCAGAGCCCGGCTGCCTGTGTCCCCCAGGGGGCCGTGGCATTCCCTGAGAGCTTCCCACTCACATACTCCCAGTAGCCTTTCCAGATCCCACCCACTGGGCCACTAAGTGGTGTGCCCACCCCCTCCCTGGCTTCGTGAGCTCATCCTGCAAGGGGGCGGGGTGGGGGGTAGGTGAGTAACGGCTGCCAAAGCTCCGGAGAGGGGCAGGACTGGAAGGGGGCTCAAGAAGGTTGGCCACAAAATGTCCCCTGAGCCCAGGGGGATGGCAGCAAGCACCCATGGGGGTGGGGAACAGTGCTGGAAGGCCAGGTGGGGGTGGGGGGCAGTGGAGGCACCAGCCTGGACCAACCAAGCACCTCCAGGTTCCTGTGCAAGACCGAGAGCTTTCCGTAGGCCTGCCTCCACCTCGCCTCAGCCTCCGATGAACTGCAGGGCTCTCTGCTTCAAATATACCAGTTGCACGGCCGGAGCCAGTGTGCGGAGCCTGGCAGGAAGCAGCGCTCCACCTGGTGGCCACAGTCCTCTTGCCTGTCCTGTTGGCGGGGGGGGGGGGGGGGGGGGGGGGG